GAGATAGCGAAGGGTTCCTCAGGGCGGCAGGCAAGCGGGAGGAAAGGCAGAGACTGCCTGTTCCCTCTTCCCTTTTCCCCCAGTACCTTGCAGTGCTGTCCGTAGTGGGTGCTTGTCCTCCTCCCCCTCGGGAAGCTGCCGTGGTGGGGTGGGGTGCCTGAGGTTCAGGCTGGTGGGAATGGAACGGTACGTTGGCCTGGTTGGGTTCAAAAATGGAAGCTGAGTTGGAACGATGTGGTTATTGCATCTTAGCTCCCATCTGAGCAGGTTTGTGTTTCGGTTTTCACTTCTCCAAATCCACGTTCATCACGTGTATAAAACTTTCTAGAAATGATTGAGTCTCTGGTGTGTATTGGGTTTGGGCAGTGTATTGCAAGACCAGCAGTTAGAGCTGTTTTCAAATGAGCAAGGATCTGCTTGGACTAACAAGCAAACAAGAGTGAGTAAAGTATTTATGAGCAGGAGTTGAGAGAACTTTTTAAGTCTTCCCACTTTGTTTAAGTGCTCGTGACTTTAAATTGGTTCTTGAGAGTGCTGGCAAATACTTGTGATTTAAAGTGACGCTTTCCGGAGCATGGAAGGGTGCGCAAGATCATAGTGAACTGTCTTAATCAGCATTTACATTTTTATAGCGATGTAATTCCTAAGTGCTTGTCGAAATGCGTGAGGGACTGTTGTATCTCCCATTAATCCTCTGTCTGTGTTCTAGTCACCTCTCTATAAAAGGATTTTTTTGAAATACAATTTTAACAAAATAATCTGTTTCAGGAGTAGAAATAAACTCTATTTTGGGACACATTTTGAATGTTTATTTAATTTATACATAGTTTGCACCACCTGGTAGTTCCGTATTGAAGTGTTTCCTACCACAGTCGGCTAGTGTGCTTAGACTAAAGGTGACAGGGAAGGGTGTTTGGCTCTGGAGGTGTGTTTGGGAGCTGCAGTAAATATCGTTACCTCTTAGCAGGGTCATGAATTGGCTCAGGAATCCCTTTGGGTGTTGTCAACACTGTCGTGATAAAGCTGTGGTAAGCCAGAGCATTGGTCTTTATACAGTGATGCTGGTGGCAGAGCTGACACTTCGATTTCAGACCTGAAGACAGCATAACGTGCTAGAGGCTTGAGAACAGGCTAAAAGCAATAAATGTAGGTGTAACTACCAGTAAGGCAGTGAAAGTCCAACTCAAACCAGCTAATTCACTGCTATTGAAGTTCAAAGTTCATTTTGGCATTTTTGAGCCAGTGATCTGTCAAAATAGTTTAAAAAGCACATGTATCCAGTTAGTCAATGTTCTGCTTTGGTTGACCAGTACTTTTACAAGTGTGCCTAGAGGCAACTGCTCAATTAGGAAGAGAAAGCCAGTTGCCTAAATCCAGTTTGTTATGTGATTGTTGGAGATGTAATCAGGCATGGATGTTTGAGGTAATGCCATTTCTCTTGAGGAAGGTGTTACAAGGTCTTTCGTGATGCAGAGGTGGCTAGTTTGTGCTGCGTTGAGATATTGTTGGTAACTTTTGCTTTCCCTGTGTGCAAAAGAAAGTCTGCCTGGCAGGGTTCTGTCTCGGAGCTTGCAGGATTTGTGTGTAGCCCTCAGGGTTCCCCAGAATTTTAGGTTTTAGAGGGAGAAGGGGGAACAACAATAAAGTAGGAAATTAGGAAAAAATACGTCTTTAAATTTAAATTGAGGAGCAACTGTAGAGCCTGTGGAAAGCAGTTGGTTCTGGCTAAGACAGATATTAGACATCATAAACTTAATCGTGTGGAAAATCTACTTAGTGTTCTCTAGGGATCACAAGCACATGATTGTGCTTTTAAAGGGTCGATGTATTTAAGCTTACAGGAACTGAAACTTCCAGTGAGTCTAGAAAAATAGATGGAAGCTTTAGATAACACAATTATAACAACATTATTGCCACACTGCTTGTCACTCTACCATCCCAAATAAAAACAAATGAGCTCTGTTCATTCTCCCTCTCTTTCTGAACTCAAGTGTAGTCGTTGCCGTTGGAATTGCACTCCCAACTGTAAGAGCACAATAAATTTGTCATGATTACTAATTTAGTGTGAGGTTCTGGGGGAAAAAAAAAATTGAGCAGACAAGAGAAAAAAGAGGGTGGGAGGAAAGATGAATAGCTAAAAAAGTATTTGAACCTTAGAGTATAGAGATTGATAACAGCACATTGGCTTATATATAGACATTTAAGTTAAATAATATGATGGAAGTGGCTGGGGGAGGGAGAAATCCCACAGCTGGGGAAGAATCTCTTTGGATGTGACTATGGATATAATATGTGGATGAATGGAGGAGGGAAACCTTTGCAGAAATAAAGACAGAAGGCTCTGGAGGTGTCTGCCAAAGGTTAAGAAGTCTCCCTTCATCCTTCCTGCAGTTCTGGGAGCCTGCCTCTGCCATATGATTTCAGGTTTTGTTCCAGCACTTTCAATTCCTGAATTCCTTTGTATTCTCTTCAGTGCCTTGGTGATGAGCTGCTTAGTAGTAGTGTTGCTGTCCGTGCGGTACAGGTAGTGCTCACATCTGTTGTGGTAAGCGCATGAAGAGTTTCAGTCTGGGTTTTAAAAAAAAAAAAAAAGAAATACAGTTTGTTTTCTGTTCCCAGCCGTGATTGCCGTACACGTGGGGTTGCTGAGCTGGTTGCATGCAGACTAGCTCAGGAGCAGCAGCGTACGAACAGGGCTGTGCTTTACTTGAATAGTAAACACTGCGGCAGAATGTTTGAATAGGTTCTGAACTGGCTTTTGGAAGTGTTCACACAGGAGGTTTTAATGCTGATGTTTGTCTTCCTCAAAATTTTGTGTCTGAATCACCAAACTGTCTATTTAGGAAGCCTGCTGAGCATTTGTTTGCACCTTGAGTGCTTGTTGTGCCAGCAGAGGCATGAGACAAACTTTCATTGAAGGACTTGCGCCTTGCCCTCTCCACAGGAACTATGCTACAATTCCACAGTCGCTGTTTCTCTTCCTTTCCTTCCCAGCCCTTCCTCATTTTTTTGGCTTGAAAACTTGTTGGCCTTGATGCTGTTCTTTCCGTGCTGTTCCAAGAAAGGCAGAAGAGAAATTTTGCATTTCTCCTGAGTAGTAGAAAATGTGCCTTGACTGTGAATACAGATCTACCCTTCTCTGGGTTTATTTTGAACAGGAATTTTTTCACAAAATCAATCTTGAAAAATTCCCTTGTAGCTCCATGCATGTAAACAAGATACATGGGATGAATATGAGACCTCTCTAATAGCAGGTGTTACTGGCTGTGGATTGTGTCATGCTGATGTTGGAGTATTGGGAATTTTTCCAGAATTTGTATGAATATTATTCCCATGTACTTTGGGTGAATCCCATTGGCAGGCTCCAACATCATGGACGTTTTTGGAGACAAAAAGGTAGCGTCTGCATTACTTTGAATTTGTGGAAGCTTGCACTTGAAGCATGAAATGAATGTGTGCTAAAAGCAGGTGGAGCAAATGATAGCTGGCTAAAGCATGTGTGACCTCCCCGGGAGCTCTGCTGGCACAGATGGGCTATAGCATGGCTCTCTTATATTGCTGAGTGAAGCTACAAGGTACTACTTGACAAGTGGATTAAGAGACACTGTCCTAACAAGTCAGGCCAGAAAGTAAAACCTTTGCATTTCAAATAGGTGAAATATTAAGACTAATCTAAGGAAGGGATCCATATCTAGAGAATCTTAAAGCAGCTTTAGTTACTCCTTCCCCAGTCAGGAGTTTCTTTTTTCCTTATCTGCCAGGTTGTGGGAAGGGTTTGGGTGAGACGAATAAAATGTTTGGACTGAAGTTTTCTTGTCTCCCTCCCAGCCTGTGCCAACAGCGCTAGCTCAGGTTGACCGCGAAAAGATCTACCAGTGGATCAATGAGCTGTCCAGCCCTGAGACGCGGGAGAACGCACTGCTGGAGCTGAGCAAGAAGCGTGAGTCTGTGCCTGACCTTGCCCCGATGCTGTGGCACTCGTTTGGCACCATCGCAGCTCTGCTTCAGGTGGGTAGGACTGGCGGAGTCTTTATTCCATGGTGCAGCGCCAGCACGCTGCAGAGCTTGTGCATCCATGGGACAGACCTGGGGAGGCACTGGTGGAGTCCCTTATTGCCATTGCTGGGAGTATGATGTATGTTGGATCATGTGGTGAGGGGAGCAGATGTGGGAAGCCCATTTGCCATTAATCATCACTAGCAAGGCGATGTGTGCGGAGACTGTAAGATTTTGAATTAGACAGCTTACATAGTTGGAAGGGGGACAGGCAAGTTCTTGGGTGTATGAACTCCCTGTGGATCACGTTCTGTCTATTTTCATACAATGTCATAGCAGAGCTACAACAGTCTTGCTCTGAAGATCTCTGGTTTGATTTGTTTTGCGTGAGCTTGAGCACTTCCTGGTCAGGAGGTTGCCCTTGTGTGGAGCCCGCTAGAAGGGCAGCATGGGAATGCTGCTCACTGCTCCAGAGATCCTTGCAAGGGAATGTACTTGCATTTCATATGAAACGGAGCGGCTCACCTTATCTCTGGGCAAACTACTCTACAGCTAATGACTGGCTATCTTTCAGTGCTGAATCTAGTAATTTCTTTCGAAGAAGGAAAGAAAAGAGTGCGGGATTGGCAATGTCAAACTGTTCTTGGAGTGGCCCTGAAACAAGTGAAGAAAATTAGAAGGGAGCTGTAGTTGGAAGCAGGCAAATTTCTGAATTGGATTTCTTGCTCTCAGCTGCTTTTTCTGCATTGATTTAGAAGAGTACCGGCAGCTACAGTACGAATAGAGTGGGTGTGCTCTGCCTCTAGGCACAGGAACAACACTCCTCTTTGATCTGGAAGTTCAAAACAAAGCAGTCCCTACACTAGTAAAGAGCCAGGAAATCAAATGAACCCTTTTTTACTGAAATTAAGGTTTGAATGCATTCCTGTGATTCCTTGTCAAATTGACTCTGACTCAGCTCTGCCCTTGCCTGGGCAGCATGGTGGCTGCCATGTAACTTCAAAGTGATGCTTGGTGAAAGCAGACTGTCATCTCCTGTCACCATAGTTCCTTGCTGGGCACGTGCTGTGGTGCAGCTTTCTGATGTTTTTCTCCTTGAACTTTTCTTCATCTGTTAATTTTTAGGAAATTGTAAATATTTATCCATCAATCAACCCTCCGACTTTGACAGCCCATCAGTCCAACAGAGTCTGCAATGCTTTAGCTCTACTACAGTGTGTTGCATCACATCCTGAAACGAGGTAAGCGTTTCCAAGTGCATGAGTTTTCTGAGGTGTTTATGTTGACAGCTCAGCCTGTCTGTTTGACTCCAAAAGCATGTAAGCTCCTTTATTCTTTTTTACCAAGAGACTTAGCACAGAGGACAGAGCTGGAAGATAGGCAGCTGCCTGCTGCTTTCACTTGTTTGCACAGATTATCAGGATGACAGCTTTATGGTGGTCCTAAATGCATTGCATTCACTGGATCATCCTGAGATCCTGCGAATTCCCAAAACGTTGGGTTGTGGCAGCTCCTGGGAGCTCAGACAGAGATAAGGGTGCCTTTGTGCTGAGTGCTGTGTGCAGGATACTTGTTTTAATGAGCTTACAGTTATTTAGACCAGCTGTCCAAAGGGTGGAATGAGCAGGACTGTCCTTCCCAGAGACCGTGTATGGCAAGGCAGCAATAGCAGAGCCTCAGCCAGTGCCTGACTTCAGGTTTTCTCTGTCTGTGTCCAGCCCAGCAGGGGAAAAGGTGATGTTGGTTCAGTCAAAATCAGTAGCTAAAACTCAGAAGAAAACTACTCAGAGATCCATGATCTCATGCTTCTGTTCCTGCTG